TTTTTCTTTAATAAATTTTTTGTTTTAGCTTTTTGGTGTTGCATTAGCTATTTGTGGTTTTGCTTTTGGTGTACATGCTGTTCGTGCTGCAGCATGGCTTCATTTTAAACATGCACATGCTATTATTGGTATAATTACATTTATTTTAACAATTATTCAATTTTGTACTGGATTGTAAGTTAAATATTGATATATGATCATATACCGTATATCAATAAGGTCTAATTATTATATATGAACTACTTCCTTATTGCATTTCTAAAGGAGAATAAGTAAAAGGATGATGCAAAAAAAAAAAAAAAAACTAGATAGAATAAAATAATCTTCAAGTAATTAGCAACAGCAGCCACATTGTGTTTCAAATTTTAATTTTACAGAGATTGTGTTAATAGGTTTTTTTTTTAAATTTATTTTCAAGAATTGGTGCTGCTTTTCTCAGTATGCGTGACAAAAAACGTGAACGTCTTCATGGATCAGATATTAAAATTCATCAAAAAGGATATAATGTTGATACATGGGGTGGTGAAGGTGCATGGCGCATTGGTCATCGTATTTTAGGTTTATTAGTATTAGCACTTGGTTTCGTTAATATATCATTAGGTGTTTTTCTTGCCGTATTACCATTACCGATTTGGATTATATGGTTTATTTATTTTGGTCTTCTTGCTCTCTTAATTATCGGTCTGGAAATTGTTGCATTATTACGTCGTGGTACTTCTAATAAACCCAAACCATCTCCACGTGCAGGTAAGAAAAGTAGAAAAAAAGTCGCAGACTTAGCAAAAAAAAAACATTCTATTGTCTATAAAATACAGAAAGAATGATCAACTATATAATGAGTTATTTAATTAATAGAAAAATCTATTGTCTAGATAAATAGATAGAAATATTATTTTCAATAAATAAGTAAAGAATGAAAGACAAAAACAAAAAAAATAAGTTATTTGTATTATCTCCAATGTAGAAATACGTCCGGATCCAAAAGGTACATCACAATCATCAATAACATATGTTGATGGACCAACTGAACAACGACAAACAACAACAATACATTTACCACGTCCTGGTGTTACTCGTGTTCCACCACCAGAACCAACAAGACGTGATACTAGTTTACATCGACGTATTGGTGGAAGTCATGGTGATGATATGGCACCACTTATACCTAATCAAAGACAACCGAGACCTGGTGATGTTAGTTCATCAGCTACACTTCCACAATATATTCAATCTACTGAACGAGAATATCCAATTACAACAAGAAAAAGAAGTGGACCATCAGAAAGTAGTGGTTTTGATTATTATGTTGGTTATGCACCTGAACATGAACAACAACCTTTGCCGTACGTTCAATATTTCATCATGATATTTTTGCTATTTGCTATAAATTTAATGCTTAAATTTACCATTCTATGTTCTTTTTGCGCTTATTCCTTTGCTTATTTTATGCTTGATAAAATTGTTGATGATTAACTTTTTATTATTTTTTAGACGATCGACAATTCAGCAACAAAACGAGCACAATCTCACTCGAATTAGGCTCCAATAAACATTTATCTACACCAAATTCTCAACAAATAAATACCGGCCAATATTCTTCATCCACAATACGTTCGGATAGATTTCCTTTATATCGACGAAATTAAAACAAAAGTGAAACATATGTTTTTATGTATGAGTGAATGAATTTTATTGTTTGTTTTCTTTTTTTTTTTTTTTTTGAGTTCTTTATTTCTCAGTGGAAGATCTACACGTATGCAGTTGATTGTTTTTCTTTTTCTTCTTTGGTAGTTTATATTAATTATCTATTGGCAAACGTCCTTTTCTTTTTTCCTGAATTATTTTGAAGCGCTTTTTGTCTATTTCGTTTTTTTTTTACTACAGTGTTGTTCTTCATTTTCTTTTTTTTTCTCAAAAATTTCTTGTATATTTTTTTTCTTCTACATGCGTTTATGTCTATTTGTATGTATTTACTATCGTCGTCAATATATTCATAATTTTTATATATAAATCTGGCAAGTTTGTTTCTTCTTTTGTCATTTTTTCTAAATGAAAT